TGTGATGGTGGGGAGGCTGACTCCAACAGACTTCTGTGCACCCTTCACTGCTCTCTGCAAAGCACTTCTTTCTCTTCTACAGATCAAAGTGGCTGTCATGGTTTGGAGAGGACTGAACCAGAAATGCAGACTGACTGAAGAGCTCAAACAAACCCCAACATCTTTAATAATTATAAAACAGCTGGAGTGGCAGCAACAACTTCCACGAGTTAAAGAAAACCATCTGAACATGACATAAAGCACAACAACACTGGACCGAGGATGAACTGAGGAGTGGAAACACCTGGCGTAATGACAACTGGGGTGGGACAGGTGAGTGTGGGCGGGGCAAGAGCAGAAACTGACCGAGGGAGAACTGGCTGGTAACACATGTAGGTAAATAAACAAACCAAACACAGAAGAATACAACATAAACGTCAAACAGACAAATGATCTATATTCCTTGAATGGAAATGCAATATTTTCAGAGGCACAAAGGAATAGTCTTGTATCGTACCAACAGCCTCAGGTGTTGAGTCATCGTTTCCCCTTTGATCCCAATATAAGCTGTTTTATCACCAGTTGGCATCGCTGGGCACTGGAAGAGACACGAGGTTTTATACACCGTGTGTATTCCCTGCGATTGCACACAGAAACACTTTGTTTTCTGAATGTCAGAGTAATTCAGTCCCTCTGTTACTGTTCATCAAATCTGCATATCATCACTGAGAACAAAGTCAGTGGAGCAGGAAAATAATTCCTCAACTGGATTATGCAAGTAGATCTCTTTCCCGTAACGCGCCTGAATCACTGCAAACGCAGCTGTTGTTTTAAGAAAAGACAACCGGTGCCAGTCTGTGTGTTAGCTGGGCGTGACATTTATCATGTTTGGTGACAGGTGTGTGTGTTTAAGTGGTGATTTGAGTATGAACGAGTAAGTCCCTGTCTGTGTTTATGATGAGTGGAGCTGTTCAAATGTTTATGGTGCCGCGAGAGTTGTAAAGATAAGAGCCAGTGAAAGAGACGCTCTCCAGCAAGAAATAAAATGTGTCAAAAACAGATCAACAAACCATTGAATGGATGGAACATTAAGATCCACCTGAGCACGGCACTGGAACTGAAGCAAAACACGACGAGAACCTGAGAATGAGCAAACAAAAGGAAGAGAAAACACCTGAACACACAAGTAACGAGCAAACGCAAACAAGGCGTCAATCTAGAGGCAGAAAACTAAATGTATTATTGCTACTGTCTCTTTGGAGCCTGGATTTTATTAGTTTTGCTCCTACAAGCTGAAAAAGGGTGAGCAGCACAAAATTCACTGCAGCCGCCTGTAGTCTGCATGTGCAACTTCACACTTGCAGTGCATTTCACACCTCCCCTGAAAATCTCCACGCTGGGACCTGGATTCAGAAACCTTCAGTTTCAGACTGGCTGCCCCGTGTGCCATTCAAGTGACAAATTTCATGGTGAGGATGGATAATAGGTGGACGTCTATTTTTTTAATGCCATGCCAGCTACCCATAATTCCTTTGGAAGGACCGATAGATCATGATCGACATATTGGGCACCCCTGCTCTAAACTAAGGGATGTGTCGACTAGTCGATTCTAGGACATCTCACAAGTTTTTATATTTCATGGCGACTAATCACAGTTGCCACTGCCCGCCCTGCTGTTCCCAGTCCACCCAGTCCATGTGGTGAATTAAAAAAATAAAAACAGAGGGAGCTAAAATAACGTGCTGGATGGGCGGCCGGGTTGGTGTCGGGCTTTTGATTGCATCAGTGGACGCGCACGGCCGTCGACCATTATTAACTATAATATTATAATAAGGTGCTCCACCACCACCCGCTCCGCTGCCCTCAGTTCCATTCCACCCAATCCACGGTGCTGGATTAAATTAAATAAATCTAAGAAAAAAAAGGTCTTAGCCTTGTTTTTTTCATGCAACACGTCTTTCACTTTTGCAGCTTAATAATAGTTTTGGTTTTCCTGTGACTTATTTGCATTATGATAAATGGTAGGAGCATAAATATACACCCAATGTTTGGTTGTTGTTGTTTATTTGTAAATAATAAATGACATTTATTTGTGATTTATTTGCGAATATAGCGTCTTGATTTCCTATGACGTCATCGACTAGTAGGCGTCGACTTTTATCACGTTAAAGTCGACTTTAAAAACTATGTAGTCGTTCAACCCCTGCTCTAGACTAAATATCGTTTCAAAACAGGGCAGGAACGACAAAATCAAAACAAAATTCTCGATCAAATCTTGCAGATCAGATTAGTTGGAGGCAAACGACTCGAGGCCAGCGGCAGGTGAATGCATCTCATGTTTCAGTCGTGAAAGACTCAAATGATCCTTGTTACGGTGAGAGGCAGGAAACAGGATGAGCAAATGATCAAAAACAAAAAGGTTAAAGATGGAACACTGTTCGCCCATTTTTATTCTTTATTGCTTTTATTGGTATCTGTTATTAATTGGTTTAATTAAATGGATGGTTGTTTGTTGGTTTGGTTGCTTTGTGGACTTGTTTGTTCTTTTCTTTCATGGTGCTTGGCTGGTTTTGTTGGTTGGATCAACACTGAACTTCTCAAAAGTCTGAGCTCTCAGAAGACGTTTGGAGTCACTTTCCTTGTTGCCACCTACAGTTTTTACAGTCGCCTCTTGGATTGAACAGTTTGATGCTGATGCAAAGTCTTTATCCAACAATGTTCAGTCAGGTCATCTGCACGGCTTCTTTTGTTGCTGAGACGTTTCAGCCTTCATCCGAAGGACTTCTTCAGTCCGAGAAGCCACAAACAAACTGGAGTCCCACACTCCTATAGTGGAAAAGAGCAGCTTTGTTTGTGGCTTCTCGGACTGAATAAGTACTTCGGATGAAGGCTGAAACGTCTCGGCAAAAAAAAAAAAAAGAAACCGTCCAGATGACCTGACTGAACATTGTTGGATTTATGGATTACTGAGCATGAACTGTTGGTGTAAAGTCTTCATGAACAAACTGCATCCCTTTAAAGTTGTGGCACCTCAGACTGCAGAGCCTCTGGAAATGTGAACTGACATCAATAAAGCTGACTGATATGAGAAAATATATTTATTTACTTATTTTACTGGATGCATGAAGTTCCCTTTACCTTTTCCTTTCTTTTCCTTATCTTATCTCAGCTCACCTTTACCTTTGATTAACTGTATTCTAAGCAGTTTCCTCTCCATTTATAATTAGATTACCACAAACTATATCATATTTTGCAGAGGAGAAACCCAAAGTGGTTGGTAAGACTGTTTCCTCCAATCTTTGTGGACTTTTATAATAATAAGCTGTAAATAAGACCAGATTGGTGTTTTAATCCTGAAACCATTAGTTGTTGGTTTTTAGTTTTAGATGTTTAGCTTTAGGCTATAGCCCTCACTTGTTTAGTTAAACTCTAATGTCTGGTTGTTTTTCCAGGCTACCTATAGGAGGTCTATAAACCAGCCTGTTATACGCTGATGAGGTGAGGGAAGAAAAGGTGGAACCTTCCGAGAAGGATTGTTTTTAAGCCGTTAAAATCTTCTCTCGGCTGTCTGTCAATCAGTTTTTCTTCTCCGGGAAGACTTCAGAGCTTTAACAGATTCCACAGCTCTCTGATGGACATTTTACTGCTCCTGGAAGACTCTGGACAGTGTCCACGTTGGACATGAAACCCTTCGGTCGTGAAGAAACCATCTGCAGTGGAACGAGCTGCTGGTTCCATCTGAAAAGTGTTTTAGTCATCAGAGGTGATATGGAAAGAGATGAAATACGATCGGGAACACGTGCTGCACATTCTACAAGAGATGCCGTCAAGTTCTAAAAGAATCATGAAGGATTTATGTCTTGACTTCACAGTGAAGTTTAAATCATTTCCTTTAATTAACAAAGCTGTCTGATACTAATCAGATGAGAGCAGGCTCGTAAATATTTCTCTTTTTCTGTCCTGGTCAAATATCTAAGATGGTTCATTTCAACACATGCTTTAGATCTGTTGTCCTAACTTTTCAGCTTTTGACCCAAAAAATAAAAGTTGCAGATTTCAAATCCCCATTGTTGGTCAAAGTATGGGAACATTTCCAAAAAGCAATTTAACAACTAGTCTCTTTAACCATTTAATGCTTTTTATTAATTTATTGCCACTGTTTTCATCTCTTTGCAACAGTTAAGATCAGCAATAATTGATTTTTTTATAGATCTTCTCAAAAAAGCCAATTTCATGACCCACCTAACCCAACTTTAAGTTATTATTATTATTAATAACTTTTTATTTGGCAAATCCCATTGAGAGCACATGCAAACTCCACACAAACAGATCCCAGGTCCAACCTGGGGATTGAACCCAGGACCTTCTTGCTGTGAGACAATGGTGCTAACCACTAATCCACCGTGTTGCCCTCGTTAGACTTACTTTAAAAAAAAAGGACAAGTTGTAAATTTTGATAAATATTTATCATTTATTTTTAGTTTATGAGTTCGGTACATTAGTTTGCTCACAAACAAGTGGGTAAATATAAACCTGTGTTGGTGGGTTTTTTTTTTTTCATTTTATAGCAAAAAATAAAAATAAAAAATAGAAAATGCTTTTGAAAAAATAATAACACTTTGGTTTCATATCCTGCCCTAACATCCTGATGCAGTCTGATTAGTTGAAGGCAACATGCAGAAATGAGCAAATACATTTTATTGAACAACAATAATAAAAACATCTTTCATGTCTGTTGTGTAAAAAGCCACAGTATAGCTGCCTTTTATTATGAAATGCATGGTTTAACTCCAGATTCAGTGTTGGGGGTACTCTCTGAACTAATAAGACCAACTAACACCTTCTCACAGAGAAGAGGATAAAATAAATTAGCGATGTTCACATTTTAACAGTGATTCTTGACAATCATCGTGCAGACCGTCAACACGCCAGAAAACAAACGTTCCCGGCCGGCAGCCTCGCAGTGGTTTCAAAATCTTCAAAAAGTGCAACACAAGAGCTCCTCCGTGACCTCTTCCCGAGGCCTCAGAGGCGGGGGAGTATTGTGGGGCGTGACGGGTACAATCAGAAACACGCCTGTCAGATTTCATGCGCAGCATCAAACTGATGAGACCGTTTGGATCGGAGGATGCTGAGGTCGGTTAGATGCATTTCTCCTGCATGTTTGCGCTCTCGTCTGTGAAAGTCACGTGCAGAGCCGGGTCTTTGGAGCCCACCGGGAGCATCCTGCTCTCCAAGTCCCTCTGCGAGAGCTCCCTCAGAGGCAGCGTCACCTCCCGGGAGCCTCGTATCGTCTGGGCTGGGCTGGAGCCCACCCCTGACCCCCGCTCCAGAGAGTTCCCGTCCGGCGAGTACAGAACGGTCTGCAAGGTGCTCACCCAGTCGCGTGGCTCCCGGGACACCAGCGACGGGGAGTCCCCCGAGACAAAAGAGGAGGGGGGCCCGTCAGCACAGCGAAAGTGCCCCCCTCCTCGCCGTCCCCGCCCGCCCATTTTACAGAACAAACACTTGATCTTCTCCATCAGCTTGAGGACCACGGCCTTCCTGAGGAGGATGTAGATCCACGGGTCCAGGATGGGGTTGATGGAGGCCATGCGGATGGCCAGCAGGTCTTTATTCAGGCCTGAAGTCTGGTTGTTCTGGTTCAGGAACAGCTGGTTCTCAAAGATCCTCAGCTGTCGGAAGAGAACACATCTGGTTAAATACTCCAACACGAAAGGTTAAACGTTTTGGAAGTGATAAACTTGACGTGACCTCATTTAAAATCAAAGTGCTTTTTTAAATTCCAACTCTTACGTCACTCCCAACTGGTATGATCAAAGCCAAATAGTCTCTTAAAGTAACCTTTGTGTTACTAAAGCAGGGCGGAGATGGCAAGGAGCCAATAAAAACCGATGCGTCATCAGAAAACGATGGCTCACGAGTCTTAACAGTCTTGGATTCCTTTTGTCTTCCAAAAACGTCATTTGTTAAAATATTAACAACTGAACGTGGGATCTGCATCTTTAAATTTAAATCTGTCTTCAGGTTTAAACTGTTTTATTAACCTCTAATGACCAACACTATGATCCTAAAGGCCTTTAAGAAAAGAGTGTTTAGATAAAAGAAAAAAATCAGTAAATACAGCTGGAGAAGCACCCTGGTCCTAAAGGGATATTTCAACCATTCTGACGTGTTCTGTATGGTTCTAGACAATAAATATCTCACCTGTTGTAGATACAACTGGAGTTTCTTTAGGAAAGCAAACTTCACAAATTGACCTGCCGTTATCAGCTTGCCAGTATGTCTGAGAGGAGCGGGTCATGTAAAGTCTATTTTATAAAGCATATGGGTCAAACTCAAGGCCTGGGGGCCAAGTGTGGCCCTCGTTGACATCTTTTCTGGCCCCCAAGATGTTATTTTAAATGTAAATTACTTTTATCACTTTTTTTTTCAGAAATCTTTGATTATTATGTCAAAAGTGCAACAGAGAATGTCAAATGAGACCAATCAAACTCTTGTTGAGGTATAATCTGTGCCAACCCTCATCTGGCTTAATCCAAGGCAATTTAAAGGCACATCACAGATGTGAGATAAAGTAGGATTTGAGTTGTAAACGTTCAATGAGTAAAACTAGAGTTGGAAAAGAAAATGCCAAAATGGTGCACATTTAACTATAGTTTTGTAAAAGCTGTGTTTGATGTCGTTATGGCGCCCTACGTCTCTGCTTGAGCCTCGATATTTATTCTTGACAGTTGTCTTTTTCAGTCTTCCTCGTTTGTTTTGCATTCGTCAGCAAATTCACTTTTATATTTCCACATGAACATCTTTGAGGTTCTATGCTTGTCCCATCGCACCATATATTTGTTTACCTACTACATCCTGTTTAATGTTGATTAATCGTGTGACTCAATCATCCACATGATTTCAGCAGACTCAGCCGAGTGCTTTGTTTACACTGAGTGCAAACCCACAATTCAGAAATGACATCAGTGTATCTAAAAAACTGATGGAGTAAATTATTTTAAACGGCACCTTTTGATATATCATAGTTTACAGTGGGCGCCTCTGTGTTTAGAACTTGATACTGGAATTTTTGTTTTCCTTTCCATAGCGAGCAAACTTGCATGAAGACTTGACAATTGTTTTTTTTTACACCAGATGACCTTCCTGATGCAACCACCAAGATACCACAGCCCTCATTCATGGAGCAGAGGGGTGCCATCTATGGCGTCCAGGGGAGCAGAAGTACAGATGTCATAAATTAACAGAGTCAAAGCAGCAAGAAAATTAAACAGAATTTAGTCCAATTATTTTTCACAGTGTACTGCTTAGTGTAAAAAGTATAATTCTCCAAAATGAGGCTGTTCTTAGAGCTATCTACAACAGGTAAGATATTCATTACTACATTGAACACAAAGAAAGGTGGAAATACTGTTTAAAGTGATCAAGTGTACTTTATTTCCGGCCCTTTGTAGTGAACAGAATCTAAGCAATGTGGTTTCTTCTTCTGTGAAAACTGAAGGGGCACAGAGAAAATGTGAGCCGCCGCACGCGCCTTCGTCACCTGACCGCGAGCACGTCAGACGATTACATAGAGTTCAGAGAGGAAACCATTGCATCAATCATTGTTTGTTTTGGTGTTTCTTATATTGTTTAATTCCTCCATTTATTTGCGCTTCCAATAAAAAAGCGTCAATTCGGTGCGTAAACACCCCCCCCCCCCCCAAAAAAAAAAAAAAAACAAAGGTTTCCCTCATACTTACCACCAAAGGTATGGAGCAGATGAGCACCACGGCCGAGGTGGCGATCAGCACGATCACCATCTGGATCTCCGCGCCTGCCAGCCGCCTGAAGCTCCGCCTGCGCCGGAGCTCGGTGACGCGCCGCGGGTCGGTGCCCAGAGAGGTGCGGCGGATGAAGCGGCGGTGCATCAGGACCAGCGCTCCGAACACCATCACGTTGCAGATGATCGTGGCCAGCACGATCACCGAGTTCACCCCGGCGTACGCCAGGTTAAAGGTTCTCCCCGTGGTGTGGTTGGTCTGCCAGTCGATGAAGCACCACGTGCCGGGCTCCTGGCGCTTGACGCGTCCGAGCCCCACGATGGGCAGCGCGCAGAACACCATGTTGGACGCGTAAACGGCCAGCAGCGTGAGCGCGGCCAGCCTCTGGTTGATGTTCTTGTTGTAGAAGAAGGCGTGGTTGATGGCCAGGTACCTCTCCACGGACATGGTGAACACGATGCTGAGCTGCACCACGAAGAAGAAGAGCAGGATGAAGCCGGAGTACTGGCACAGGGAGTACCCTCCGGGCCACGAGCCCTTCACGTAGGTGGCGATGGTGACGGGGCTGACCAGCAGGGTGCCCAGGAGGTCCGTCACCGCCAGGCCGCACACGAGCGTGTAGAAGGTGGTCTCCTTCTGCTCCTTCCGGGACAGCCGCAGAACCACGATGGCCACCACGTTCCCCACCACCCCTAAGATGAACATAATCACCGGGATGGTGGGGGGACGGAACGCCGCAGCTGCTGTGCTGTTCATGACTTCAGCTCAGAGCTCCAAATCAGCTCCTCCAGGAAAAGAGCGCGTCCATCCTGTCCAAACGGAACCGTTTTTACGCACAGAGTCAAACCTCCATATCCTTCAGGGGAAACCAAAGCAAAACACGAATCCGCAGGAGGAACACGTTTGACAACAAAAGATGCTTCTAGGACTCTGGCAGCTTCAAACCTCACACCCAAAAGAAAGTTGACAGGGGTGGAGGCTTTGCGGCTCCTCCTCTGCGCTCGGAGCGCTGAAGTGTCAAGCCAAAGCGCGCGCGTAGATGGAGCGCGCTGCGTTTGGCTCTGTTGCACAGTTTCAGTTCCTCCTTTGTACCAGGCGGGTTGTTGCTTTCTTTGTCCGACATGAACCAAATGAGAGAAGGTTTGAAGGAGATATCCAGCAGGAGCTTCAGCTTTACACCGCAGGATTTACTCTCTAAAAAATCATAATAATAAATAAGATTTGTAGTCGTTTCCCTCTTATTATCTCAAACTCCTGCACAGAGAAGTTCATTTATCAAAAGCTGTTTTTCCTGCACATAAAAAAAAATCCAAATAATTAAAAGCTTTTCCTGCAATTTATTCAGATGTTCAGTTTTGTCTAACATCTTATTTATTATGAGGGTTTTGACTCAAAGAAGCTTGAGCTGGAATTTAATTCATTTAATTAAACATTTTTTAAAAAGTACAATTAGCAGATGTGTTTTGATTTCCACTGAATTATTTATTTACTGCTTCAAAACATGTGCAGTGAGATGTTCCAATGAGAAATACCTGCAGGAAACATCTCACTTCAAATCCTGACATATCTTGAGCCTCCAGGGCTCATGTTCACGACAGGTTACATTTCGGCTCATGTTCACAGCCGAAACATTTAGAAAGAGTTTGGAAAGTTGAGCTTCCTCATATAAACTCCTCAGCCAGACCTGATGCTCTGTTTCAGTTTACAAATATTAGTTATGAGAAGAGCCCTGACCATGCTACTACCACCTCCATGCTTTACTGATCAAATAAGGTTCTTAGGATTAATGGAAGAGTTTTGTTAATGTCTAATATCTCAGTGTTATTTCTAATAAATAAAAAGTAAGGGTTATTTTTAGAAAGCAGTTTTTTTTTCTTTTAGATGACCACTCCCAGATAATGTAACAATGCTTTCACTTCCTCTTATTCTAAATATTTCCTAAATTTGGTAACGAGCTGAATTCTTGAGGGATGGTTTTGTAACATTTTCAGATATTTCACTTTTCAACCAAAAGGCAGAACTAACAACTGAATTGTGGGTAATTTCAGATATTTTCAACTCCTGCAGGGTCACTCACAACATTATTTTTGTTAAAGCAACACGTGGAACGCTGCTTCAACACCTGAATGAGATTATAGGAACCACCCTTTGGTCACTCAGCGCTAAAGAAATCCTCAACAACAACAAGAGCTGAAAGAAGTAAACACTAAAATGACTAACAGCCAGTTTTAGAGATGCTGAGCTAAAGTTAGGAGTGGTAGTAGCTGAGCTTCATCCTCATTGCAAAACACAATCACTGTGCATTGTGCCATATTTTTGCCTAAAACCTTAGCATTAACTGTTTGCAAAATATCTCATGACCGACTGAATGGATTTTAATGAAGTTCTCAGAAATAACTCACTAGATGTTCATCTACAAATGATTAGGTTTACCCCAGTTCAAGATGGCCACTGCAGCTTATCAGCCTTAAGCCCCCAGTATCCTCCCACGTATGTATGTGCGTACCTCCGCGTATGGACGTATGCGGGAGTATACTGGGGGCTTTAGTCAACATAAAGATGGCTACTGTGACTCATTGGGTTTGAGGTAATGAGCTAATGTTGGTGTGGTAGTAGCTGAGAGTCATCAAATGACTGAAAGCTTATAGACAACTTAACATGTGTGTTTTAAGACTAGACACTGCCTCAAACATCCATCCATCCATCCATCCATCCATCCATCATCCATCCATCATCCATCCATCTATCTATCCATGCAGCCAGCCATCCATGCAGTCATCCCTCCATCCATCCATCCATCCATCCATTATCTTTACCTGTTTGTTCCATTTTTGGGTCACGGGGGTCGCTGGTGCCCATGTCCAGCAATCACTGTGCGAGGGGCAGGGTACACCCTGGACAGGTCGCAAGTCCATCACATGAAGGGACACATAGAGACAAACGAGACAAACAACGATTCACTCTCTCATTCACACCTGGGAACAATTTAGAGTTACTAATTAGTCTAACACACATGTTTTTTGGTCTGTGGGAGGAAACTGGAGAACCTGAAGAAAATATCCTGATGCATGCTCAATAATCCAGGTAGAAAAATCCAAAAAAGTTAAGTCAGGTCCCCAGAGGACCTGACTTAACTTTTTGGAACCCGGAGAAAAACCCACACATGCACAGAGAGAACATGCAAACTCCACCCAGAAAGGCCCCTCGGCTGGGATTGAATCACAATCTCCTCATTGAGAGGCAACATCTCCACCAACTGATCCCCCGTGCCACCCCTGAAACATTCTTTATAAAAACATAAGGTGCTCATCAGACCTGATATTTAACTCATTAACAAAAGCCAGTGTCCAGCCTGTGCACCAACAGAGAGCAGAGCTGCACCTTCTCATCAGCTCAGCTTCTAATCATGAAAACAATAAAGTGATCCACACAGACATTAAAATTCTTCAAACATCTGAGCGAACTGTAGCTGAGTGTCGTCGTCTGGATGCGATGGTGTGAACACAAGCTGATAAAATGCCTGCGTCACCTGTCTGCTATTGACTCTCAACTACTTCTGCTCCTTCCTCTCCACCTCCTCCTGAGTCACTTCAGGACTGCAGAGAAACGTTTGTTCAAACCTTCATCAGTACCCAAATCTTATTGTTATTCAAGTAAATCCATAACTTCAAATTACAAATAATATTCAGTTTTAACACTTTACAGGATAATAATAATAATTTTATTTATTTATCTCAGATGGCTGGACTTTGCTCCTCGGAGTTGCTGCAGCAGATAACCGAGTGTTTGTTGCCAAAGACACAGGGACAGAAACAAGTTGCTGACTCGAGCAGAGAGTAACCAGCAGCTCTGCTCAGGTATTAGATGTTAGTATTTGTACACAGCTACACAGAGACCGTCAGTGTGGTCTGAAAATCTTTCATTGATGCCTCTGAATTTGCTGTGAAACCTTCATGCAGGGACTGATGACCTCTGGAGGAGGAAGATTTGGGTGTAAAAAAAAAAAAAAGTGAAATCAGTTTTTATGAGGCTATTTCTAGAGTGTGAACAACAGAGTATTTATAGGAACTTTATAGTACCGTATTTTTCGGACTATAAGGCGCACTTAAAAAAAAACTGGTTCATACATTTGTCACGTCTAGACTGGACTGTTGCAATGCTTTGTTATCTGGGTGTCCAAATACTTCTTTAAAACGTCTTCAGTTGATCCAAAATGCTGCTGCCAGGGTCTTAACTGGAGTTAGTGGGAGAGATCATATCTCTCCAGTTTTAGCTTCTCTCCATTGGCTCCCTGTCAAATCCAGAATTTAATTCAAAATCATACTTCTAACCTACAAAGTTCTCAACAACCTAGCTCCATCTTATATTAAATATCTTATTGTTCCATATTTTCCTAACAGAGCACTTCACTCTCAGGCTGCAGGTTTACTCGTGGTCCCTAGAGTTTCCAGAAGCAGAATGGGAGGAAGATCTTTCAGTTCTCAGGCTCCTCTCTTGTGGAACCATCTTCCAGTTTCTGTCAATGAGGCTGACACATTATCCAGTTTTAAGACTGGGATTAAAACTTTCCTTTTTGATAAATCCTATAGTTAGAGTTAGCTTGTTATGCTGCTATAGGCTTAGACTAATGGAGGACAGATTGACCTAATTTCCTTAAATGAATTGTTAAAATTGAATAGTTTTCATTTGATTCTGGACCTGCCATTGTGTATCTGTTACTCCTTCCTGTTTCTCTCAAACCCAGCCGGTCGAAGCAGATGGTCGCTTGTCCTGAGCCTGGTTCTGTTAAAGGTTTCTTCCTCATGAGGGAGTTTTTCCTTTCCACTGTCTCCTTCATGCTTGCTCAACATGAGAGTTGTGTGATGAAGTTAAGCTCAAAGCAGTCTGCTCCTCAGATAAAGTCTTAAATTATTATTTTTATATATGAATGCTTCTGTTAACTTACTTTTACATATGAATATTTCTGTTCAGTGCCCTGAGATGACGTCTGTTGTGACTTGGTGCTATATAAATAAACTGAATTGAAATTGAATTGAACTTAAAATCCTTTAATTTTCTCAATTCAACAGTTCGCCTTGTAATCCAGTGTACCTTAAGAATTAATTCTGGTTGTGCCTGCTGACCTCGAACTGATTTTATGTGTTACAACTGAACAATGTTGAGAGTTATTGTGAATGAGTTGAATAAAGTTTGACTTATCTGACTGTTTTGTTTCGCTTAATGCACCTTGTAATCCAGTGTGCCTTATAGTCTGAAAAATACGGTAATTAGTGGAATAAACTATTTTGATTTCAGACTAGCTCAATGATTGGTTACAGCTGATTGACCTTAAGGAACACAAAAATATATATATTTAGTTTTTGTTAACTGGGTTGACTCTAAAAGTTGATCATTTGTAGTTGGACATCGGATGATTACTGTCTGCAAGTTTAACTATAATCTGTTCATTGGCTCATGAGATATTTTGCTAAAAGATTTGCAACAAATGTTTAACAGCAGAGTTTAAGGCAAAAACATTGCACAAGGTGCTTTATTCTGAATATGTATCAGGGATTACTCTTGGCTTTTACCACACCAACTTTTACCTAAACACGTGTAAAACTAGTCGAGTTAGAGCCAGCAGGCAATATTAAATAAAGCATATTAATTTTACAAATGTTGTTTTTTTCTACATCCTCAGAGTTTAGGGGTTTGGTGAAAACAATTCTAACCACTTAGTTGCTTTTATTGTTATAAAAAAAGGAAAGAGTCAATATTTGTGTTTGTGTTATAATTAGTGATGCATGATGACAGGTCAGAAGTCATGGGGATGTTATGATAACCCACTAACTTTATGATGGTTTGTAAACTTTAAAAGCAGCAATGA